CTGTTTACTTTCTAGTTTCTGCTAGTTTTGTGTTTCTTTACTATTTATTTATTTCGTTCTCTGTTTGCGCGATTCTCTCAATTTGCCCATTCTCTTTCTTCTGGATAATTGTCTGCTATAAAAGAAAATAAACAAAGCTAAATAAACAAAAGATGTGTCTGTCACATCGAAATAGTATCAAAAACCATAGTAGGCATGCCATGGTGTGTAAACCATCCCCGTAGCGAATGTCATGCATTAGTCACTTAAGAGTCTTGTACGGAAAAGTTACGTCTTAAATGACTATGGGCTCCGTTTGTATGGAAGTCGTTCATGCCTTTTTCATATAAATGGTAATTTCGTCGTTGATGTCATCTGCATGACTTTGCCATGCAGTGATCATTGATGACATTCAAGCGACAATGTCCTGCAATGAACTTTTTATAAGTGACCGCAGCAAGACATTGCCTGTTATAAGTCTTTGATAGGATGACATTGTCACCATTGTCATTTTCAGCTATATGTCGTTTAGGATTCACAGCAATTGCGACGATGTCACTAAATCCTCATTAGTGACGATGTCACCGGTGACCATTTTCGCTACTGGGATATGTCTGTCAGCGCTGACTGCGTATGGTGCTCCGGGACGTATACGCCACATACATACGCAACTACAGGTATGAGCCCGAGAGGTTATTTTTATACCCGAGCGCTCTTGTGCACAAGGGTAATATAACTTTGTTCACATAACGGTTGTTTGTAACAGGCAAAACGAATCGAGATAGATATAGACAAATGTATACATAAATGATCAGAATGAAAAGAGAAATCGATTAAGCGGTGACTGTCTGTCCGTCCGTCCGTCTGTGCACACGATAACTCGAGTAAAAATTCTTTTGGGCGTAGGACGGATGGTATTGAAAATGGGCTAAATCGGACAATAACCACGCCTACCTCCCATATAACGGTAATTTTCAGAAATACGAAAACTGCGATATTTTAGTAACTATTAAAGATAATTCACTCAAAATTGATATTTACAATGAGTTTTAGACGAAAACTTGGCACAGTTGTTGGTCCTGGTACAGCATACCAAATGGCCGAAAATTTTTAAAATCGGACAATAACCACGTCCACATCCCATATAACGGTAATTTAGAAAAATACGAAATCCTCGATAAATCAGTAAATATTAAAGCAAATTTTTTCAAAATTGATGGGTGCAACAATTCTTAACAAAGAAATATGTTTGTGATAAAATTTTGGAAAACGGGCGTGGCACCGCCCACTTATGATCACATATATGTGTCTCGGTAACCGTTCTACCAATTTGTACCAAACTCGGTACGGTTATTGTGCTTGCCACACAAAAGCAAACTGTTGAAAATTGTTGAAATCGGACTAAAATTACAGCCGTTTTTCATATAACCGGTAAATTTCAGAAATGCTTGAAATTTCAATATTTCGAAATTTAAGGACGCTAATTTACTTAAAATTTATACACCCCGGCTTATCATGTAGCGGCAGCTTTCGGACAGGTGGAAAACATATGTATATTTAATACTTGCGCCGGGTATTTAATGTTCGGCTCCGCCCGAACTTAGACTTTCTTACTTGTTACTTTTTAGTATATGCTTTTTAATTTTGCGTTGGAATCCTGTTCTTTATACACAAATAAAGATAAAGTATAAGATAAGTGTGCCTCCATTTTCGACCAAAACATGTTTTTGTCGAAAAATATAACAACTCGTGAGATTTTCTCAAATAGCAGAGGTGACGCATCCCCCTCAACTTTTATTTTGAAATAAAACAGTAGGAGTATTCTCGAAGTCCTGCATGTTGCATGGATTGCGCGAAATGCAAACATACTCTTCCGAATTTGGAAGAGTACGAGAGCACCTCATTGCAAAGTGGTAGCATGCCGCGATCTAGCGAAACAAATGTGGCGCCTTCCGCGGACCGCTAGTCCTCTTTTTGTCGATTTGACAGCATCCTGCCTTTCGCACATTATTTTTTTACGCGCTAGTGATAAAGGCATATTTAATAAGGTAGAAATGACAATTAGCTCGAACTCTCTTGTTGTAGTTATAATGTCAGAAAACTGTAAACAAACAAACTAACCCTTTGAGGCGTGAGTGGTATGTTTGCTACAAATTATCATCAATTGAAACGCATAAGCATAATTAAATATGTACGTATAGTAATTTTACGATTTACTTCTATATTCCCTTCAAAGAATTTTAATTGCATTCGCATATTATATGGACATATGTATACATATGGACAGAAACGAATACCTCATAAAGAAAAGCACGTAAATAAAATGAAAGAAATGTTTTATGACTGTTAAACATATAACATATTTTTGTTTTTATTCACCCAATGTTTTTGCGCGTTTAGTTTCCTATTCGTTATTATTTAATTAAACAAAAATAGCCAGCACTTATAAAAAAGAAATGATTTAATGTTTTCTTCTAAATATATATGAAGACTAAACTCTAACAATTTCTTGAAAGTTTTTTTAACTGCCTTTAGTGAAAATTTTTTCAAGGGGACTTTTAAAAACTTAACTGAGAGGTAAGATCCGCTATAGTGTCTTCCATTGTCCTATTTTTATACCCGAACGCACTTGCGCACAAGGGTATATTAACTTTGTTCGCATAACGGTTGTTTGTAACAGCCAAAACGAATCGAGATAGATATGGATATATGTATCAGGGTTGTTGCGAATATTCGCATTCGCATTCGCTACCGCGAAACATCCGCATAAATTTTAACATTCGCATTCGCTTTCTCATTCGCAATAATCAAAGCTTTTGCAAATGCGAATATTGTGCAAGTGCACTGATAAAACGTATATCTGGCCTGTACTACGTTAAGACTGTCCCCCTACGTGCACCTTATTTCGTAATTTAAAGTCCAAGAGTACGATAATAGGAGATATTTCCAGCGAAAATGTTCATAGGCTGGCTATAAAGAGAGTCGACTATTTGCGCCTTTAATCAGGTAAGAGTTATGTAACTATCGAATATTATTTGTCAAAGGTCTTTTGAAAAAACTGGATGCATCGCTAGTGTTTTTCTACTTTTTCTTAGAAAAGTGTAATTATTTTTTTCTCAAAAAAACTTAGCACGCATCAAAATAAAGATAAAATGATATGTAAATAAGTTGACAGCCAAGGTTATAAATTAAATAAGAATTAATTCAAGGCGTGTAATATATCGTTAGTATAGTATAGTAACGTCGCTGAAATACAAAAAGCCGTAACTAACTAAAAATGCGAAATTAACTTTTTGATTGATTATGTTCATATTATTTCTTTAAAATATTTGACATCCGCATCCGCATCCGCGGATGTTAGCATTTAAACATCCGCATCCGCGGATGTCTGTAATTCCACATTCGCAACACCCCTAATATGTATACATAAATGATCAGAATGAAAAGAGAAGTCGATTAAGCCACGTCTGTCCGTGTGCACGATATTTCAGTAAATATTAGATGCAAATTATTGAAAATTAGTATGTGTAGTACAATTGTGGTAAAAAATGATATTATTATGAAATTTTTTGAAAATGGGCGTGGCACTGCCCACTTATGGTGAAATGCTGTATCTCAGTAGCCGCTTCACCAATCCCTACCAAACTCGGTACGAGGCTCTCGCTAAGAAATCTGTTCAAAATCTTTGAAATCGGGTATTAACAACGCCCACCTGCCATATAACGGTATTATTACAGAAAAACGAAATTTGCGATAAATCAGTAATTACTGGAGCTAATTCACTTAAAATCTATGGTTGCAATAACCACTTAGCATAAAATTAGAATATTTAGGGTATTCACAGTTTACTTCTAAGGTTAAAAGGTGGCAACTTTAACAAGATAACACACAGGAACTGTGAGCAACCCTTATGTTTAAATAAAGTATTAAGTTGATCAACAATACCACGCATTGCTAGACAGTTTGCCTTTCACGCGTTTGCGTTAAGAGAGCATCAACAAACCACATACATATTTCTCTATATTCTCTCTTCTCTTTTGTATACTCAGCTAGCACAGCGCAAAAATAAAAAAAAAAAAACCTTTGCCATCTTCATGCAGGCGCAAAGCGAAACTTATGTACAAGCAGCACTGCGCCCAAAGCGAAATTCATGTATGTATGTATGTACAAGCAGCGATAGATGCCAGTTTAACACAAAACATAAACATGAGACAAAGTCGAGTAATTTTGCCCAAAAGTCTTATCTCTAATTAGTATGGGAACCAACAACAAAGAGCCAATTCACACGATGACTTTTCACCCTGCGTTTTTTGCACATTCTCTTTTAAAAAAGCCTTCTAAAATCTTCGTGCATTTACACGTTGACTTTTTGTTTGCGGCGTTCCTTGCGTTTTTTGACGTTTAAGCGGCCAATTTTCTTTGGTCATTCATTCGTTGAAAAATTATGGCCACTAATAAGGAACTTATAATTGAACAACTTTTAGAAATCGCTGAAATGGTTACTAAACTATCAAATTTAAGCAATAAAGCAGATGTGGAATTAATTTCGGCTTTGCTTGATTGTTGCGAAAGCGCAAATAATTTACCTAACAAAAAAAGAACAGAGAATGGGTGAAATCTTGGAGACTAAAGCGAAAAGAAAAAGGATCGGTTTCTTTTTTGGTAAAAGAGCTGTCCACCGATCATAAATCTTTTTTCGAATATATCAGAATGACTCAAGATACTTTCAACTATATCCTTGCTGCGATTGAATCTGATATAAAAAAACAGAATACTATTATGCGGCAATCAGTATCTCCAACAGAAAAATTAGCTGCCACACTTCGATTCCTGGCGACCGGCGAAACATTAAAGAGCACAAATCATCAGACTCTATTATCAAGCTCATTTCTTTGTGCCGCTATTCCAGAAGTGTGTAGAGCGATCTGGAAACATTTTAAAGACGATTATTTAAAGGTTTGTAAATAATACTTATTTATTAGCAATAAAGAGAAAAGAAATACAATGAATCATAAATAAAATCATTCAAAGAAATCTTCATCGTCTAGAATACCATCCAGGGATTTCTGTAAAGTATCCGGGGAGCGGGTAGTTCTTTCACCCGGTCTATTTGAAATAGGGTGAAGTGAGAAACTTGATGCGATGAAGTTCTTGTTTTGCGATGAAGATATGCTAATGGTACTTGACATAGAGTCATTTAAAAATTCGCTTGTGAAATTTTCATCAATATGTTGGTTTTCAATAGATTTATCCTTCAATTTAGCTTCTCGCAAAATCGTTTGAATTTTCCAAGCAGTCTCAGCGCGCAAATCTTCATTTTTTATAGATTTAAACTCGAAAATAACCTGTTGGCCGAGCCAATCATAATCACTCCTATCGTCCAATCGCTTCTCAAGCAAGCTCTTGACGCCTTTTATTTGTTGATCCAAATTTGCAGTTGCTTTCTGAAATAATGAGTAAAAATTATTTTATTATTCTTACAGTTTCCGACAACAATTACGGAATGGAAAATTATTGCAGAAAACTTTGCGATGAAATGGCAATTTCCCCACTGTATAGGAGCGTTGGATGGGAAACATATTGTGTTTCAGTCTTTACGGAAAGACGGCTCATATTTCTATAATTACAAGGGGACTAACAGTATTGTGTTATTGGCTTTAGTCGATGCTGATTGCCGTTTTATATATATAGATGTGGGTTGTAATGGACGCACCCATGATGCAGGCGTTTTGTTACAGAGCGACTTGAAAAAAGTTATCGATGATGCAGATAAGTACTTCCCGCCAGACGAAATAATTGGGAACGGGCGAAAACTTCCCTATGTAATAGTCGGCGATGATGCATTCCCGCTTCAAAAACACATTATGAAGCCGTACTCATACAATACAAATATAAAAGAAAAACAAATATTTAATATTCGTATTTCTCGCGCTCGACATGTTGTGGAGCATGCCTTCGGAATTCTGGCCAACAGATTTAGAATTCTACAGCATAAAATGAACATGTCCGTAGAAAATATAGAGCTCATAACGAAAACGTGTTGCCTTTTACATAATATGTTGAGCTACAAGAATGGATATTTAGATTTGCCATACTCAGGCGCGTCGTCTGTATCCGCTGCACCATCTGGTGAGCAACAACAAAAATCTTAAAATGCTGGTCAGTCCGTAAGGAAAGGATTCGAAGAATCAAGAAGGGAAACTACATTGGCAGGACTCCAAGCTGTAGATATGTACTTACACGTTTTCGAGAAGTTTCCACTCCTGTTTTACTATTATTATCAGCGGAGTGCGTCACCGTAGAGTTTTCGTTACTTATCGTCACCGAAGAATTTTCATCGCAATCGTCAACCTATAAATATGTATTCCTATGCGTATTAAAATAATTGCATTCAAATAAATACATAATTTACGCTAGAATTGTTTGATGTTGATTTTCTTGTCGCGCAGTGTGCCTTCAAAAATTGTAATTGATCGAAACACCAAAGTTTCGGTATATATACATCTTCTATTCCAACACCACTCCTTTTACTCATGGCCACTTCACGCAACTCCTTAATGTATTGACTTCTCAATGTATGAACTTTCTTTTTTATATCTTCCACAGTAACATTGGCATTTTTTTCTTTTATTTCATTATGTATTTCAAACAACGATTTAGATCTTTTTACTCGATCTAAATAATGTGGATGACGTACATTGTACAAATTTTCGTGCTCTTGATATTTTATTAAAAGTAGCTCAACCAATTCTTTCGGCCACATTTTAAAAGCGTAGCGAAGTGCACTTGAATAAAAATACGAAAATGTGAATACAACGAAAGCGAAATGTCAAAAAAACCCCTCGATTTCGCTCACCGTGCGTGCTTGTCTACCCCGCTGACCACAATATAACCAGTAAACAACCTTCGGTGAATTTGCCGACTGCCTTCCTCGGGGATGAATATGCTAGGGATGAAATTATTGGTACACAGCCTTCCAAGCACGCAGGGTTGCTTTGAAGAAACAAAAAATAATTAACTCCAAATAGTTTCAAAAAGTATAGTGTAAAACTAAATTATTGAATAATTCCACATAAAATGGTATACATAACTGACTAAACGATTTAAATAAAACGCATTTCATAACCTTTTTTGTGCAAACGGCATTTGCGAATTGATAGAAAAGTACTACGGATTGTAAATTTTTGTTAACTATGAGGTGAATGAAAATTTTCAACCTGGCCTGACGGTTTTGAAGAGTTTTTTGTTCTAATTTTATTACTAAGGCGTCTAATATATGCATGGCTTTTAGTTCTAGAAGAATAAAAGTCAGTAAAGACAAGTCTTTTTTGTATAACTTCTGATTTTAATTGCTCAACTTATTTTGCACCAGAGAAACTGTCAAAAATTTCCAGCAGAAATGTAAAATTTTCTCGCCATAATAAAAAAGTTTTTTCAACATGGAACTTTTCTACTAATTGACATGAAATTACAATCTCAACGCTCGGAGCGCTGCCACTGAGGACTTTTGCCAACTGATAAAAAAGAGAAAATTTGGAAATACCAAACAAAAATTTTGAGATTTCTCCTTGTGAATACGAATGCCATAGTTTTTACCTAGCTCGTGGGACTACGCAAAATTTTGACAGCTTGTAAATATGTATACACATAAAGTTGTTGGCGGTAATAAAGAGTCAAAATCAAAATGGAGAAAAGAACAAAAAGCGTACGTTAGTTGTCAGTTATGAAATAAATCCAATTTATTTGCGAATATTTGTTTATTCTATTTATTGAAAGGCAACCACGCGGAAAAGCTTGTGTTAATTATATTGATAACAGAACCTGGCAGCTCGCACGTTGTCTAAATTCTCAAGTAACATAAAATCCACAAAAGAATACATTGCTTGTATTACCATCAATACGCCATGTATAAATTTTAACAACACACAAAAATAGAGCTTTCGCACGAGCGTTTGTTTGGTTTTTCAACACCATTCATAATATTCTTTTAATAAAATCACGATTTGTCAAATGCTTAAAATTATTTATTTAATAATAATGCAGCACACAACCCTGTAATCTAAGAAAAATTCTGAGGAAGGCCATTAAATAGCAGCACATAACCCCGTGCCTTCCTCAGGAGTGAATATAACTACAACAACAACGACTACTACAACAACAACCCAAAAAGGTTGGTTACTGTCTATACTGTGCCGCTGACTTCGCTACACTTCTTGCATACAAGCTCGACACGCATGACTTTCCACCCAGGGTGAAAAGTCATCGTGTGAATTGGCTCAAACAAAGTTTCCTCATGGTAAATTGTTTTAAAGTTACCAGTAGCCCGTTTCTGTAACTTTGCGATATAATAACGAATGATTTGTTATCGCAAGGCTCGTATCGAAATCGATATGAAAAGTGTTTCTGTAACTAACTAACTTAACACAGTAGATACTATCGAACTGTGAGCACCCCAATTATAAATTTTTGGATAATGGGCGTGGCGCCGCCCACTTATGACCACAAATGTGTATCTCGGTTTATCAATTTCTACCAAACTCGGTGCACTTAATAACCTTGGTACGAAAAAGCAATTTGTAGAAAATTATTCAAGTCGGACTAAAATTACACCCGCTTCCCGTATAACGGCAAATTTTAAAATACGAAAATTCCCATATTTCAATGAGGACGCTAATTTATCCAAGTTAATAGTTACAACGATCTCCTAGCAATAAATAAGACTGCTATAGACTTTTTGGAATTGGGCGTAGCACCGCCCTTTTTATAGCTACAAAGGTGTACCTAGATAACCACTTATTCAATTTGTACCTAACTAGGTTCAATTATATCATTAAGTCTAAATCTGCATATTATCGGAAACGTTTGAAATCGGGTAAACATCCTTACTTATCATGCAAAGTTAGTTCAGGGAAAGTTGAAACGACGATATTTGATACCTGCGCCGGGTATATAAAGTACGGTTTCGCCCGAACTTATACTTCTTTACTTGTTTTCATTAAGAAGGTATATTTCCGTTTTGAAACTACATTGTATGGAATCATTGCTGATGAAAAAAATTTATAAACGTGTTGGTAAACAAATTCGTGTACGCAATGGGCAAGTAATAAAGTCATTCGCGTTGAAATGATTTTCACAGACACGGGAAGAATCTTCCAATTGAACACCGCAGTCTTCTAACTTCGAAACTAGGCACCTTTATTTTTGTTCATGTATCTATAAATGGATGTGGTAAAAAACCAAAAAACTCACACAATTCAAAACTATCTCACAGCACGCAATTGAATTTTTAATGAAAAATCGAAAACGCCAACATGAAAAGGGGTTAAAACGGTTATTCATCATTTGACATTAGGCGTGTTTTATTTGACGAGAAAATTAAGCTATATTGGCTAAGTCTTCCATACAAAATAAGCTACTAGCTTAAATGTCAAAATCACTTCTACCTTATTTAATATGCCTTGCTAGTGATGAATATTAAATTTTCATATTGCACTTATTTGCCGAAAAGTTGTACCTAAAAGTAGATATACGTACCTAAACAGTAAACATGTATTTTTAAATGCATATATTTTTGGTAGTTGGTAGACTACATCTTCCTTTTGTATGGTACAAACTTTTGGACTTAGATGAAGCAATATTTGACTACGTTCCAAATATACCTAAAATAATAACTGAATAGTAGGTACAGTTTCACCTAGTTTTACATCACTATTTCGCACTACTTGTTCGCTTCTTCCTCTTCTTCTTCAAAATTATTTTTAAACTCTCATTCTCTTAATAATGTGACATCACACCAGGGTAGCCAACTCATTTTTGAGAATTCCCCGATCTCGACTAAGAAATTTCCCGATTCTTCCCGAAATTTCGTAAAATTCCCCACGCATCTCCAGATATCATCCAGATATCTCCTTATTTACAAAAAAAAATTGTATCTATCTTGATATATTGCTGGTCTTTCTGTGTATTTTATTATTATATATGTATTCATAAACCAAACCAAACTTTTATAAAGTTAGTTAACAAATAAAGCATGAAAAAATTGTATATAATATTCACGTACATACAGTGGTCGAAAAAATTTTAGTCGCACCAAATTTTGCCAAGTTTTCACAATTATTATTTTTTTGTTATTTAATTTGAGTTATTTTTTTATAAATAAAAGTGATATATAACTCTTTAACAAAAACCGTATATGTAAATCCAAGTTTCAAACTTTTTGCAATATTTAAAAAAAAATCAACAGTTTTCTTAAAAAGGTCGACCTTTTAAATAGATTTTCTGGAAAGATTTTGAGCATGCAATTTTGAAACTCACTTAATTCTAGTGGAAGTTTCAAGTGGATAAAAATTTTCATTTTAAAATTTTTTTGCCGAAGTTGTTGCGGTTTTCTTCCATATAAAAATACCTTGTGTTTATTCGTTATATGAAAGCAAACGCGACAAAGAAATTTCTAAAAAATCAGCGGTAATTTTTAGTCATTTCAAACTTTGTTGTACTAGAATGGAACGAACTGAAATTCCCCACAAAAAAAGGTCTATTCCCCGATTCCCCACGTAAAGAGAAATTCCCCGCAAATCGGGTTACCCTGCGTCACACCCAGTTCTGTATCAAATAAAACAATTCTGTATGAAATACAAGATACAGGAAAAAAAAATTAAGTGAGCGAGATGAGAGGAAGAGAGAAATATGTAGCAAATCCAACAACAAGTCAAAACAAAACGCTAACCCTATCTTCGTCGATATGACAGCATCCACCCAATCTCTGACGTCATAAAATACTTTTGTTTACATTCACTGTTGCCAACTACATGCTTTTCGCACCAAATTTAGTGGGTATTCAAAACGCGAAAATTGTTGAGTTTGGTGCTTGGCGCGATTTAGTTGCTTTTGTTTTTAGTTTGAAGACACCAAATTAGAAAATCTTAAAAAAATGGAAGCAAAATTTATAGCTATCGTAAGTGTGGTAAGCAACTTTACAAACATTTAAACAAAATCATGGCACAGTGACAATCATAAGCGACAACAAAATATGTGGCAGCACCTTCAATCATGCCAGAAGAAATCGACCGTCGTGCAAGAAATATTGATTTTTATTAATTTGAATCGGCATCCTTACAATAAAATTATGTGTGCATATAAAGTCTATAAAATACACCAATAAAAATGTGGTGCTTTTTCAAATTCAAAACTTGGCAATACTGCCTTTTGTCCGATGCTTCCTCTTTTTATTACCTCCCTTTTATTAGCTCGGCATGTAACTATGTAATATTGATGCGCCTAAAAGATGCAGCGATTCTCAAGTTACATACCTGATGACAGTACGAAGGAAAATTATAATAGCGAGTTTTAGTTTCTTAAACTATAATTTTATTCTTTTCGAGTTCGTCTTGCACTCTCATTCTGGTATTTGTTGACGTCACGGCCAGTTGCTCTCAGCTCGATTGGCGCAATCTTGTATTCTATCATTCTTGTCTTGCTATGCTTTTTTGCTTTGGTCCAGACGTTGCATACTTTGCAGCGATAGGAAATGCTATTTCCCCTGTATTTTGTTTTTGTGTGTTTGCAAGTTATGCAATCCGTGCAATCCGTGCTACGTGTAACGGCTTTGCAAGATTTGGAGAATACCCCTATTGCTAAACAGAGAGGATAAAATCTAGTTATTATAAAATGATTTATTTACTTCATTTAAAAAATTATAAAAAATCATTCAGCTCCTTACTACAATTTTAATTAATTTTTTTTTGTTCTAAACGCAGTTAATGC